CTTTTCTGATGAAGGGTCTAGGCCCGAAACGTCAGCCTTTCTGCTCCTATGATGCTGCTTGGCCTGCTGTGTTCATCCAGCCCTGCAACTTGTTGTCTAGGTACAGAATGTGATGGAGGAAATAATATGGCTTGCGTAGCGAGAGGATTAGAGTACAGGGGCAATGAATGACCCGTACAGGGCCTTAGTGAGTCCACACCTGGAGTACTGTGTGCCATTTTGGTCTCTGAGGAAGGATGTCTGGCTATGAGAAGAAATGGAATGAAGATTAATCAGACTGATTTCTGGGATGCCAGAACTGATGTATGGAGAGACACTGATCAGGGCTATATTCAATTGAGTTTAGAAGACAGGGTAAATACAAGACATTCCTGATGACTGGGGAGTCCAGAACCAGGGCTCACAGTCTAAGGACATGGGATAGGCCATTTAGGACTGAGAAGGAGGATAAACGTTTTCATCCAGAGTGTGATGGGCACATGGAATTCTCTGGACCAAAAAGAAGTTAAGGTCAAAACACTGAATATTTTCAAAAAGGAGAAATTTACTTTTAAGAGCTAAACGGATCTAAGGATATGAGGTGAAAGTGGGAACAGAGTACTGATTAGAATGATCAGTGATGATCATATTGTATGGTGGAGTAGTTCCAAAGGGCTGAATGACCTACTCCTGTTTCTATGTTTGAAACATAGAGAATAGAAACAGGAACATTAAAACTAAACATTAGTGAAAGCTCCATGATCATTTCCAGTGTGCCCACCCGAGCAATTAATTGTTAAGTATACTTTGAAAATTTCAGTCACTATTTGTTTTAAACATGACACTTCTTTTTAAAAAGAAAATCCACAAGTCTAATTAAACTTATAAAAGCCTATACCTTAGTACTTTGGTAAAATCAGATTAACAATCTTGCAATAGTGTCAATAAAGCTTATTCACACATGAATGTAATCAGCTGTAGGTGTGTGCATTGATAATTTAACTTTTCAGTCTAATCAATTCAGTTCATCATTTTGATCTGGATTATGTACTGCATTAACAAGAAATGGTGCCCTCTGACCAACACAATACATTAAGTGATACACTCATGAAGCATAGATGTTCAGTAAAACAATAGTTGAATTTTTTTTGGGAGTTATAATAGACCACCACCTACTGGTAATTCAGAAACCCTGTACAATGTAATTTATGTTTTAAAGTGGCCTAATCCTCTTCTGTAACTTTCAAGGCAGAAACATCAACCAACTCTTTCAATAAAGAGAGTGTAACGATTGCACACAGTATCCAAAAGCGGGTAAAGTCACCTTTGTCCAAGAGGACAAAGGGGCTACTATCTCATTAGGGAGAGAAATTACTGGTGGGGAGTTTAATCCAAGGGTCACCACACCTCAGGTGATGAGCAAGATTGAGATGAAGAAGAATTTAATGGTTATCTCATGAGATGCAGGAATTTGAACATGGGCTGTGAGCATCACTCTGCATTGCAATCCAGCCACCTGAGCTAAAAGCACCACAGAAAAGGTTCTGCAGTTTTACTATGAAAAAGGGATGGGCCATTTAAAATACAACAACTCTAGACTAACAAAACACAATGAAGAATTCAAAGAGCTACAATTACCAATAAACAATATCTAACTTATAGACGTCACAAACAAAGCGAAGGTTGCATAAACTGAATGAAAAACAGGAATGAGTTATCTGCATCTCACAAAAATAATTATTTTTGTATGTATATATAGTGATCTATTTTACATGGCACCTGAAACAATACAATTTTTTCTCTACCTATGTTACAATCGCATAGATAGGTTTTATTCTGACCAAAGCAAACAAAAACCCTGATCAAAATTCATACTTTTCATAGAATCATCACTTGTAACAACTGTAGTCAAAACAGCATTTGTAAAACTGAATAACATCCCTTATTTTGTATTATTCCCTTGAAAATTGGTCAAAAAAAATCTAAATTTTATTAAATTCCGAAAGTTCCAATCATCAAGACCTCAATTATTCCTCTTGCACTGCCACGTGGATGGGTGTTCATCCTGCAGATTTCTGAACTTGTTTCCGAAGTAAAGCCACCACGTGAACCCAATAACAATGCACAATATAGATTCTACATAGTAGCCATCAGTTGCGGTTGAACAGGAACCACCAAACTTTGCACAAAGCTGTGAGGGACAAAAGAAAATTGGAACATTAATGTTCAAATTCTACCAGCAGAAAACTGATTTTTTTTAGGTTGATCAAATTGGGTGAAAAACGTATATACCATACTATAGATTAAATATTTCTAATTTAGAAAATGAAAACTCACTTCAGAATCAATTGCAGATCCACAATTTTGTTCAGGTGCACCAATGCACTTCTTGACTGTAAGTGGGTCCACCAGCCAAAGAGCTAACGTAGCTGGCCAGTTTCCAGCAAGATTGGAAACAGTATTCAATAAAGTCATGTATGTTCCTCCAATTGAAGGGTCACTAATTTTAGCATTAAATGCCATGACTGCAACATACATGCTATAGACAGTCACCTAAAGAAAGAAAGCATTTAAAAATCTCAGTAACACATTAAACATCTCTTAACTGGAACTTTGTAAAAAGCATCAACTATACTTTCATCCACAGCTTTGTTTGATGCAAGCGTTGGAATCACAATTATTTCTAATTTTCATCAATACCCTAAATTCACAAACTCAATGCAAACTGATCAAAAATTGGAAAAATATGAAACTCAGGGGAGATTCACAATAATCAAGACAGGTTAGATAATACAGAATGACCTAAATAAGTTGTGTGAGCCTAACAATGATAGATAAGATTTATTGCATAGTGTGAAGGATTGCACAGAAAGAGGAAAAAGTAGGAACACCTTTGTTGCCTCAAATGGTGCTAAACATATAAAATTTGATGAACAGCATGGAAAAAGTTACTCCAGATTACCTTTAAAGTATGGAAGTGGGACACACAGACAGTGATTCACACCAGGGGTCAAAATAATTTATTCCACATCTGAGGCAAGTATTTGAAGTTCGAGTAGCATTGGCTGAAAGTTTGAGTTGGACACAACTACAGACACTGCAACACATTGTGGAGCAACTTAGATTCTTTCTACAAGGAGGCACTCACAGGTTAAAGATTCAGTCAGCCCTCAGGAGCAGGAGAGTGTGACTGAGTTGGGCAGATAAGGGCATTGAGAGCGCAGTGCAGGAACCTCAGCCTTGGCAAGTGTCCAACAGGTCTGAGTTTCATTCGCTTGTTTGAATGGCATTGCAGGCTGAAGGATGGGTGTGCGAACTGATCATCACACCATGGAGCAGGATTCCATTTGAGTGTGACAGAGAGGGAGTAAGAAGAAATATTGTGGTCGTAGGGAACAGTATAGTATGGGGGAAATTGACACCATTCTCTGCAGTAAAGTGCACAAGTTCAGATGACTGTGTTACATGTCTGATGCCAGGGATCAGGACATCAGGTCATGACTGGAGAGGAATTTGCTGTGGAAGTGGGAGGATCCAGTCTTCGTTGTCTGTGTAAGTACCAGCAATATTGGCAAGATGAAGGAGCCAGGTGCCAAATTAAGAAACAGAACCTCAAAGGTCATGATCTTTGGTTTATTACCCAAGCAGTGTGCAAATTAGCATAGGGCAAATTAGATCATGTAGATGAATGGACGCTCAAAGACTGCTGTGGGAGATGTGTGTTTTAGTTCATGGGCCACTTGCACCAATACGGGGGAGAGTGGTATCTTTACCAGTGGTACTGTCTCAACCTGTACCATGCTAGATTCAGCATTACTGTAGATCACATAAATAGGGAAGTGGAGGGGATTTTAAACTAAATAGTGGGGGCAAGTCATTAAATCTGGGAAGATGTGCTAAATCAAGTATTAAATACATATTTCGTTTTGTCTTCACAAGGGAGTACACAATGTCCCAAAACCATTGGGGGAACTCAGGATCCAGTGAGAGAGAGAGAGAGAGGAACTGAAGGAAACCAGTTTTAATAGAGAAATGGTTTTCATACCATAACACACAGGAGTAGAATTCACCCATTTGATCCTTCGAGTCTGCAATGTCTTTTAATCAAAGCTGATGTTTCTCAACCCCATTCTCCTGCCTTCTCCCTGTAACTTACGATCCCTTTACCAATCAAGAAAATATCTGTTCTAAATACCCTCAATGAATTAGACTCCACAGCCCTCTGCAGCAATAACTTCCACAGATTAACCACCCTCTGGCTGAAGAAATTTCTCATCTCACTTCTAAAGGGTCATTCCTTCTCCAAGGCAGTACCTTCAGGTGCTAATTTCTCCAACTAGTGGAAATGTCTTCTCCATGTCTACTTTATCCAGGTCTCTCAGTATTCTGAGTGTTTCAATCAGATCCCCCCTTTATCCTTCGAAACTCCATCCAGTATAGACAGAGTTTTCAACTGCTGCTATGACAAGCTTTTCATCCTTGGGATCATTCTTGTAAACCTCCTCTGGACCCTCTTCAATGCCAGCACACCCTTCCTTAGATACGGGGCCCAAAGCTGCTCATAATGTTCCAAATACAGTCTGACCAGATCCTTATGCAGCCCGAGCAGTACATCTCCGCTTGTATTCTAGCCCTCTTGAAATGCTGACATTGCATTTCCCTTCCTAATTGCCAACTAAACCTGAAATAAATCCTGAACTAGGATTCCCATGTCCCTTTGTGCTTCAGATTTCCAAAGCCTTTTCCTGTTTAGAAAATAGTCGAAGCCTCTATTCTTTCTACCAAAGTGCATAACCTCACACTTCGCCACACTGTATTCCATCTGCCATTTCCTTGCCCATTATCCTAGTCAGTCCAAGTCCTTGTGCAGCCTCCCCGCTTTCTCAACACTACCTATTCCTCCCACTATCTGCGTTCAATCTGCAAACTTAGCAACAATGCCTTCAGTTCCTTTTGTCCAGATGGTTAATGCATAGCATGAATTGTTGAGATCCCAACACTGAACCCTGCAGCACTCCATCGGTCACCACCTACGTTCCTGAAAAAGAGCCCTTTATCCCTATTCTCTGCCTTCTCCCATCAGCCAATCCTCTATCCACGTCCTCTACCCTATCCCTAACACCACTGGCTCTTATTTTATTTAGCAGCCTCTTGTGTGGCGCCTTGTCAAAGGCCTTCTGAAAATCCAAATAGATCACATCTGCTGGCTGTCCTTTGTCTAATTTGCTTATTGCCTTCTCGAAGAATTCTAACAGATTTGTCAGGCATGACCCCCCCCCCCAATGACACACCTTGCTGACTCAGTCCTATTTTACCACGCACTCTGCAATCTCATCCTTAATAATGGACTCAAATCTCACTAACAACTGTGGTCAGGCTAACTGGCCTATAGCTTCCCGTCTTCTGGCTCCTTCCCTTCTTAGACAGGAGCGTTACTTTCGGCAAGTTCTCTTTATTGACTGCAAGGATTCCCGAAAGATCACCACCAATGCCTCTGCTATCTTAACTATCTCCTTCAGAACTCTGGGGTGTGGTCTATCTCGTCCAGGTTATTTATCCACCTTCAGACCTTTTAGCTTTCACAGCACCTTCTCCTTCGTGACGAGCAGGACACTCACCTCTGCCCCCGACTCTCTTGAAACTCTAATGTACTGCCACTGACTGATGAAAAGTACCTATTTAGTTCCTCGGCCATTTCTTTGTTCCCCGTTAGCACTTCTCCAGCCTCATTTTCCAATGTCTACTCTTGCCTCTCTCATCTTCTAGATATCTAAAAAACTCTTGCAAACTTCTTTCAAACTAGTAGCTAGCTTACTCTCATATTTCATCTTCCTCCTCCATCCCCCGCCACCCCGTTGTTTTTGTAGTTATCCTCTGCTGGTTTTCAAAGGCCTCCTAATCCCACTGTTCTTCACCACAACGTATGCTTTTTCTTTTGCTTTTATGACTTCCCTTGTCAGCCATCGTTGCCTCATTCTCCACTTACTATGTTCTTCTTCTTTGGGTTGAATTTCTGCTGTGTCTCCCAAATTACCCCCAGAAACTCTTGACGCTGCTACTCCACTGTTTTCCCTGCTAGGCTCCCCTTCCAATCAACTGGTCAGCTCCTCCCTCATGTTGCTGTAGTTACCTTTACTCAATTATAATACCGTTACCTCTGATTCCAGCTTCAGCTTCTCAAATTACAGGGCGAATGCTATCATATTATGGTCACTGACCCCCTAAGGGTTCCTTCACCTTAAGCTCCGTAATCAAGTATGCCTCACTACACATTATCAAATCCAGAATTGCCTGTTCCCTAGGGGTTCTACATAAGCTGCTCTAAAAATCCATCTCGTAGACATTCCATGAATTCCTTTTCTTGAGATCTGCTACAAACCTCATTTTCCCAGTCCATCTACATATTGAAGCCCCCCTGATTATTGTACTAGCCTTTTTCTTGCATGCTTTTTCTATCTCCTGATTTATTTTCTTCCCAACATCGTGACTACTGCCAAGTTGCTGATACATAACTCCTATCAGGGTCTTTTTTTTTCTTCGTGGTTCTTCAACTCTACCCACACCGAATCTCCACCTTCTGACTTTATATAATTCCTTGGTATCGATTTAATTTCATGTCTTACTAACAAGGCAACACCCCCACACCCCAAATCTGCCTGTTGTTTCAATAGATCATGTATCCTGGATATTTAGGTCCCAACCTTGATCCCCTTGCAGCCACATCTCTGATCCTTACAACATCATTCCTGCTAATTTCAACCTGCGTAACAAACTCATTTGCCTTATTTCATATACTGTGTGCACTTAAGTACAGCACCCTCAGTACTGCATTGACTGCCTCCCTTCTCACAGTTGTCCCCTTATGTGCGGTGCCTAAAGTTAGATTCCTGACCTTTTCCATACTCTGTCATCGAAAGAGTCTGCACCGAACCTCCAACCAGCATACCACCCAGGCCCTATCCTCATAACCCATCATCATTTACCATGGCTAAGCCACCTCGGCTGCACATACCTAGACACTACAGGGCAATTCAGCATGGCCAAATGGCTAATCCATCTAACCTGCACATCTTTGGGCTGTGGGAGGAAACCGTAGCGCCTAGAGGAAAGCCAACGTGTAAATTCCACACAGTCGCCCAAGGCGGGAATCGAACAAGAATCCCTGGTGCTGAGAGGCAGCAGTGCTAACCAATGAGCTGTGTCTCCTATTGTGGAAAATTTAATAACTACTGCTCATCCATCCCCTCCTTTAACATTTCTTTTATTTTCCATGCAACTGAACCAACCTGCCCAATATTTAGTTTAAAGCCCTATCCAAGCAATTCGCCAGGACCCTGGTGCCGACATGATTCAGGTGGAGCCCATCCCATCAGTACAGCTCCCTTCTTCACCAGTACTGGTGCCTATATCACACAAACACAAATTCAAACATGTTTCTCCCACAACAATTTTTAAGCCATGCATTTACTACTTTAGTCTTTTTGACCCCATGCCAATTAGCTTGTGGCTCAGGTAGTAATCTTTTTTGTTCTGCTATCCTCATCTGCTATTCGCTCAGAAGAACCTCTTTCTTCTTTTTCTGTCTTGAGGAAATTGATGGGATTAAAGGTTGATAAATCCTTTGGGATTCCAGAGTACTTAGGGATGTGGCTTTAGAAACAGTGGACACAAATGTCATTATCTTGCTGGATGAATTCATATGGATTGGAAGGTAACTAATATAACCCCACTATTTTAAAAAGGAGACAGAGAGAAAACAGGGAATTACAGACCAGTTAGTCTGACATCAGTGGCAGGGAAAATGCTAGACACAATTCTAGACAATTTAAAAGCAGGGCACTTGGAAAACAGTAGCAGCATTGGACAGTTGGCATTGATTTATAAAAGGAAAATTATGCTTGCTAAATCTACAGTTTTTAAAGGATGTATATAGTAGAGTTGACAAGGGGTATGCTTTACTTGAGCTTCTAGAAGGCTTTCAATAAGGTCCCACAAAAAAAGAGTTAACATGTAAAATTAAAGCACATGGGATAGAGGTAGTGTACTGACATGGAGAACTGGTTGATTGACGGGAAACAAAAAGTAGAAATAAACAGGTCCTTTTCTGAGTGCCTGTCAGTGATTAGTTTGATATTGCATGGATCAGTTCTCAGAGCCCAGCTTTTTACAATATAAATTAATGATTTAAATATAATATCTCCAAGTTTGCAGATGCTGAAAGCTGGGTGGGAGGGTGCAGAGATGTTTATGGGTAGCTCTAGAACTACAGCTCACTATTTAAAAATCAGGGCTTGCCAATTTTAATTAGAGATGAGGCAACTTTCCTTTCAGAGGGTTGAGTGTCTTTAGAAATCTCCTCCTGAAAAAGTAGTGGAAGCAGGGTCCTTGAATATTTTTAAAGGTAGTGATAGTTAGATCCTTGTTAAGCAAGGAGTGAAAGGTTCAGGGATATGCAGGAATGCGGTTTTAAGGTTAGGATCAAATCGGCCACAATCTTATTGAAGGGTGGGTAAGACTAGATTACTCCTGCTTCTAACTTGTATGTTTATATGAAACATCTGTACTTTATATAATAATTAAAATAGGCCACAAATATTTCTAATGAACATGTTACTTTGCTCGCCATCTATCTTTTCTACACTCATTTGTGAAGTTCTTCTAATCTGAATTCCCCATTTGAAGTAAAGTAAGCAGTAACTAGCTTGTAGTTGCATATAATGCAGCTTAACTGGATGACACGATGCATGAGCAGGGCAATAACTACTAATTTGCTGTCTTCCTTGGGATAAGGTCAAGATGATTTACATTCACACATATCTCTCTAGTGAAACACAGAGCAGAAGTCATAACATGCACTAGACCTATATTGACTTTGATTAATGTACAAACACTGGGTATTAACCTATGTCTATCTATGAGTTACCTTTGCCTGGATTGAAATGTCAGTTCAACTGCTTGTTGTATTTTGAACCAGGCCTCACTAAGGAAACCATTAGGGAAACTAACTTTTTTATATCAGCTGACAAATGATAACCAAACTCTGTACATAAGAGTTCTGACTACCAATTGCAGCTAAATCTTGTACGTTAGGAGAGCAAGAGAACCAGAGAACCATACTAGAACCATAATCTTCAGTCCTAATTTTCTATTTCAACACAGATTTATTTATTTTTAAATGTTAACTGGATGTTAGCAACCACTTTGGAAAAAGATGGCAGTGGGGACTGCTGTAAGGTTCAGATACTTGTAGTTATACTGAATGCACTTACTCACCTGATGCAAGGCATAACTGAACAGCAGTACTCCATAATAATAAACAGGAAACTCTGTGCCCTGTTTCACTGTAGGAGTCCAAAAAACCAGCAAAGCAAATATCATGCCCATAAATAACCTACGAAAGGAGAAATGACGTCAAATACTATTTTAATTAAATCATAAAATATTGAATACAATGTAATCTTTGCAGCAAGTATAAAAACATTAACAAACTTGCATTACTACTGTAATGGTTCACATGAGTCAAAGCCTAACACGCATATCACTTGAAATTCAATTTCAAATGCAAAAACTAGTGTTCAGGTAAATATGCTGGAATTGTAAACTTAAATTAATGTAGACATGGAACATTCATTTTTATATGGCAATACATTATTTTATACAATACATAATGGTTCACTTCCAGAAACATTTGATGCAAAAAGCTAAACCAGACAATGGATTAAGTACTTTCCCTATCTCTTATCATAAAATTTGATCAATTCATCTATCAAATATTCATTCATACCATTTCTGCTGATACTACTGAAGAATATAAGGCAAATAACAGAAATTCCAGATCAATATATATTCTCCCACTGGTGTAAATATTACAAGATGCATTTAATGTCGTCTTGTTTTGTTAACTATACTAAAAGGCTGCTACTATTTAGCAATAGTATGATTGCTTCAGTAGCCATTTGATGAGAATTGTTCATGGTTAAGGAAGATGTCTGAAACAAATCACTTGTTTTCAGAAAAGAGACACACCATTCAATATAAATAAAAATGTTTTCATTAGAAATTCTGGTTCTAAGAACGTTTTTTTTATTGTTCCGTCTTTAAAGGATTCTAAAACTGTATCTTGGACTGATCTTCAAGTCAGTAATCCTTCTGATTGACAGGAGACTGGGCCAGGTGAGGTTGTGGCCAAGAATCATAATTCAGGCCCAGTTATGCATTAAGTGTTGTAGCATTTTTTCTACAATTTATGTACGGCTAGTTAAGTCTGCAGTTACAATTTATTCTGGTTACTATAACCCTTTCTGCAATTACAGAACTGTATTGAGTAAGTAAAGACACACTTCATGGGTGTTTAAGAAAGTATTGGTAAACAATGTAAAAGTGTGTTCAAAATCATATGAATTTATGATCAATTCCTCTCTCCCCACCAAAAATAACAAGTTTTCAAAAAAAGTGTCAATACAGTGTAGAGCTGGAGGAACACAGCTGGTTAGGCAGCAGAGGAGCAGGAAAGTCAACGTTTCGGGTTTACACCCTTCACCAGGAGTCCTCACACCACATTTAGGAAGCTTGCCTACTGCCCCTCTCAATTCAGCAATTTCGAAAATTTTTAGAATACAGACAACAAAACGGGACATGTAGTTAACATATTTTCCTCCTTGGCCAATTTACTGAGCCAAATTAATAAGTTTTGCATCTGAATTTTATGTTGAAAAATGGTTGACTTTTACTTGATCAAATTTTATGAAATTTGTCCTTTGGCATTTCTTCAAACAATGTTTAAAAAAAGGAACATAAACTGCTTGGAGCTAAAAAAAATTATAGTTTATTATGAAATGATAGTGATTTAACCTGGGAAATGGGATTGAGAGTACAGATTGTGAAATTAGAACGATTTCTAGTACCTGTGGAGGCTGACAAAGTTTATAAGCAACTACTATGACTGTTGGCATCAAGTGCAGATACAGAAATGTATAATGCAAGAACTGCCACTGAGGTGTAAAAAGAAACATCTACTATGGTTCTGTAGATAGGAACAATGTGCAGCATAGAACAAAAAAAAAGTACATCTGATCCCTCTTCTTTCAAAGAAAAAAAGATACATTACCGAAACGGCATTGTCCAGTAAAAAACATTCAGAGGTTTTCGACCTGCTGTGTATTTGCTTATCACAAATGGTAATAATATTTGCAGAGGAACCATAGGCACTGCAAGTAGAGCCAACTGCTCTTTGGGCACACCCAATTCAACCAACTTCAATCCAGTTACTCCATCAGCAGCTGCAAATCCAATCTGTAAATATACATGTTAATTGAAAACAGGATAACTTCTGTAGTTTACAAAATATTTCTGCAGATTTAAGATATCATCTGTCAACGTGCAATACGTTCTAAATGAAAGTGGATTTTCCCAAATTAAGCAATGTGTGAAATTTTTTAGAGGCATAATTTAATAACTTGATTACAGCAGACGACACCTTAGAGACATTACGTCACTGCAAAATATTTAAATCAGTTATTGCTCATGTTCTGTCCAGCTTTTTAGAAAATTTAGACACCTGTCTAATGATACCAATAAATTTACCACGACAGATCACTGGTCATTCATAAATGTAATTATTATATAATTAAATTTGCTTGGTCAATGGTAAAATTATTTAAAACTGCCAACATAATTGATTTCACACAAACTTTCATTACAATTTATCATCTCAACATAATTCCAATAATGGAGTATATGGAGATAAATTTTGATTAAGACCTTGAGATCAGGTACATAGATCATTAATATTTTATGTATAGACACAAGAAAAAAAAGCGTTTATGCCTGGAGGACTGCAATACTGTGAGGCAGAAGTCATGTTTCAACTGTACAGAGTTCTGGTTAGGTGACACCTGGATACGAGGAGTGGGCCATTCAGCCCATTGAGATCGTTGTTAGATTATAGCTGGTCATATACCTCAATGCCACTTTCTTGACCATCATCTATTTCCCTCAATGTAATTAATCTCCGTAAATCTATTGATTTTTGTATTGAACCTACTCAATGGTTGAGCGCCTCCAAGTCCTCTTGAGTAGAGGATTCTGAAAATTTACCATCCTGAGTGAAGAAATTCCTCCTCCTCATTCTCCGTCTTAATGACCTACCCCGTATTCTGAAATTATGTCCCCTGATTTTAGACTCACTAGCCTAGGATACATCTTATCTCCATTCACCAACTCATGCCATGTAAGAATTTTATAAGTTTCAATGAGATCACTTCTTCATTCTTTGAAACTCAAAAATACAGACCCAGTTGTCTCAATCTCTCCTCATTAAATAATTCCAAGAATTAACCCGATGAGCCTCTGTTGCAGTCCCTCTATGGCATGTATATCCCTCCTTAAATACTGTACATAATACTCCAGAGGACTCTACATAATCCCAGCAAGACATTTTATTTGGGTGTACTCATGGGAATAACATCCTAGAAAGGATTTATTGGTTTTGGATGCAGTGCAGCATATATTTACCAGACCGATACTTGAATCCCTATAGTTCAGGTATGATGAGAGATTACACAAAGCAATGTATTGCCTGCAATTTAGAATATTAAGGGGTAACATCATCACAGTTTAAGAATATTAAGAGGATAGATAAGTTAGAAGAAAAACATTTTCTGTTATTTATGCAGTTTAAGATTAGAGGCATAGTCTAAAAGTTACATCCAGGCCTTTCAGGCGTAAAGTAGGAGGCACTTCTACACACAAAGGGTAGCAGAAGTTTGGATCTTTCTTCTACAAATTTATGTTTTATAGATTTTAATAAAGATATTAAAGGATACACAGCAAATTTGCACATATAGGGTTAAGTTTTAAATCAGCCACAATTTCACTGAATGGTAGAACAGACTCCAGGGCTAAGTAACCTACTCGGTTCCTATGCTTGTGTTATGCCATCAAATAAGATCCCTGTTTTTGCAGGCTTCTGAATGACATCTGACATTAATTCTGGAGTCACATAGTTCGGGAACAGCTTTAAACAGTTTTGAAATCACAGGCCCATAGACTACAAATGGAACCAATCTGGAATACACTCTCTGCATAGAAGTATATGCAGATAATGAATTTGACAGTAAAAATTCTCTGTTCATGCTTGCCACACTGCTAACAACAAGACATCTGACATAGAGGATTGTGGAATTTGGTTAATTATGGTTGATTATTTGAGAGTTTTAAAAAGAGTTGCACTATGCATAGTCATAAATAGAACTTACTAAACAGAAACAGGCTATTCTGTGTTGCTGCTTCTAAGAATCTCCTCCAACCACTCTTCAGCTGACCCCAATAACACATGTTGTTCTTTCTTCCCTCATGTGTCTACCAACCTCTAGTAGGTGCATTCATGTAACTCTTCATATTCTGGAGCAGTCCATTCTTGCTCAGAGCAAAAACTTGACAACACTCAGACTTGGGCTGATGTGTTAAGTAATATCTGCACCATACACATGCAGGCAATGACCATCTCCAAAAAAAGAAACCGCACCATCTCCCCTTTGACATTCAGTCATATTACCATTACTGATTGCTTCACCATTAACTTCCTCAGGGTCATCAGTAAGCACAAGTTTCACTGGATCAGCCACATAAATAGATTATATTAGAAAATAGCAAATAAGAATCTGGAAAAGAAATAGAAAATTTGGAGTCCCAAACCATTAAAGCCTCTTTTATATACTAATTAACATTTACTTAAGATTTGAGTCAATTTTGTTGACACTGTCTATTTAGCCGTTTATTCTTTTAGTGTAAAGCTTATAATATGTACTTGATTGGGGCAGTGTGACACATAAAATATCTGTAAAAAAAATCCAAAAATCATGAATTATGCAATAGTTCAACAAAAGGTGTCAACAATTATAGTTAAAGTGTTACATATTATACAGAAAACACATGATATATTAAGCCACAGTTTCCATGCAAACCATTATGAGAGTGCCATGAAAACTGTAAAAAAGTTAAAATTGACCCAAGCAGAGATATTTACCTGGAATTCAAGAAGTGTGCAGTCCTGGTGAACTACAATGTTCCGGTCAGAAATAAGAGGAACTTGTACAATTAAGCAGACTTTAGTATGGGGCAGGAGTGTTTAGAGGATTTACCAGTGAGTTCACTTCTCTCTTGCCATCTATAACTCCACTAAAATAGTTTGCCAAGAATTTTTTGAGGGTTTTGATGATCAGCCATTGTATTTTGCCCCAGATATCAAGTTATTTGCCAGAACTACAAAAGGATGATCAGGAGAACCCTTCCAATAGTTATATTTTAACTGCCCTCAATGAATTTTCTCAGTTCAGTATGTATATACAAAATATTAATGGCATTGAGCACCACACTAGTGCAAATATCAGCTGAAACAAGAAATATTTGAAAAAGGTATAAACTTTTGTTTCTCACTATAGACATTGGCTTGGAGTTTGTGTACAGTTGTTTCGTGCAGCAAATCACTCAAAACCATAAAAAATTGCAAAATTTTGAACTCATTATTCAGTGGAAATCCAGTTTCTGTAATCTTTTGCACTACTTTAACATACATTTGCTAAAAGTTGCCTGTCCACAAATCTCAGTGAATTAATTGATACAAGTTGCTGTTAACTGCATCCATTTACAGGCTTCAAATTAAACTATCAAAGGCAAAATCCTGTGGATGCTGAAATCTGAAACTAAAGCAGAAAATGCTGGCAAAACTCACCAGCTCTGGCAGCATCTGTAGAGAGAGAAACAGAATTAACATTGAGTCCAATATGACTCTTCATCTGGTTATTTTCTGAAATATCATACCAGCCTCAAAACATTAACATGATTCTGTTCTCCATAGATGCTGCAGATCTGCAGAGTTTCTCTAGCATTGTCTGCCTCTGTTTCAAATTAAGATGGTTTCTTTGAGTGCAAGGGTATCAATAGGCACATTTTAAAAGCTTTTGTTTTTTTAAAGATTAAGCAGCTAATTGCTGTTCACTAATGCAATGACAAGATGGTTCTGTATAGCAACAAATCAATGTCAGCTTACACAGACATTTACCGAAAGCAAAAAAACTCACTCAAAAATTGAGCATGGCAATTTTAAATTCTTCATTAGGGTTACCCACAAGTTAAAAGCAAACATAATTCATAAATAAAAACTGTAAGAGTAATTGACATATATACATCAATGAAATGATTAAAATGATTAAAAAATGTTTATTTTTAGGATTAGTAGCAAAAATAGATTTACCAAACTGCACCAAGTTACCACTCAAATATATCAAGGAATATTTGCATTATAGCTTCCAAGATTGCTTAAAACATTTAAGATAAATCAGCTTACTTTTGCTGTTAGCAGCATGATGCAGAAATTCAAGATGGCAGGCATCTTTACTATACATATGAGTGATTTGTAGGTTTCCTGGATTCCTTGCTGAGGGACATCATGCAATGATGTTTGTCTCAAGTTTTCCTTTTTAAACACTGTAACCAAGGTTGTTGTCACCAAGAAAATTATTCCCCAGAAGAACAGAAAACCTAAAAGAAATTAAGATAAAAATGTGAAAAATCTAGAATTTCTATGTAGAAAATGTAAACGAGATGATTAAATCTGTACAATTAGTGTTTCCACTTTAAAACTGGGTTGTCAGGTCCTATCTCCTTTCTTTGTCATATCCGGTGTTCACCGGTTAAAGAAAACCGATCTACCAAGGAACTACAGAGACTATACAAAGCTCTCAAACAGCTTCAGCCAACTCACGTTTTACGTGAAAAGAAGCTCCTTTATTTAAAAGTGGCTTATCAATTGGGATGACATTGCTGAGTTGGAAAGGATATTAAATCTTATACAAAGGCACAGAATCAGAACAGTACAGCACGAGGAGGCCATTTCACTTATCAGATCTACACTGATTCTTTTGAAGAGCTATCCACACATCCACTCTTTCCCTATATCCCTGCAACTTTTCTCCCAAGTATTTATACAATTATTTTTTAAGACTACTATTGAATCTGTATTGACAATGCAATTTGAATCCTAATAACGCACTGCATTAAAAAAAAGTTCTTTTCTCAAATTGCTCTCTAATTAGCAATTTAGCTGTTTAAAATAACCAAAACATGGCAGAATTCTTCTAGAATGAAGAGTGATATAACTGATTCTGAGATCAGCGTCCTGAATCCATATAAACAAAACTACAAATGACACAAGGTCCGAGCTGTCTGTGATAAGTTAGGGAAATTTACTTAAAAACCATTACGGTAAATTGGCAATGGCAAACTTTTTTTTAAAAAAAGTGCATGGATGAACTACAATTGTGCATTTCTGTTTGACACAAAGATAAAATGTAAAAGTTGGCCCAACAATGGCTACAAGGAAAATTACAGATAGTATTAGAGACAAGGAAATAGTATGTAAATTTGCCAAAAAATTGCAGGTCTGAGGATTGGAAGCAGTTTAGATTTCAGCAAACGAGAACAAAGGGATTGATAAAGAGGGGAAAAATACAAGAGTCATCATCATTGTTACTGGCAGTCCCTCACAGACAAGGATGACTCTCTTCCACTCTCAGGGCGAGTCCATAGGTGACTTCCACAGGTTCTGTTTCACTTGGGGCAGATGATGGTTGGGAGAAGGTGGGGGACGGGGGGTGGTGGTGGTGGTGGGGCATTGCTGTTTTCACCTGGCTTCCACTTCTTTCTGACAGCAAGTCTTGAGCTGCTCAATGCCTTCCTGATGCTGCTCCTCCACTTTGGATGGCATTGGGCCAGTGATTCCCAGGTGTCTATGGGAATGCCACACTTCACAAGTGAGGCCTCGAGTATCACGGAAGCGATTCCTCTATCCAACTGGGGTTTGCCTGACATTTCAGAGCTGGGAGTACAGCACCTGCTTGGGCAGTCTCATTTGGTTGTGTGGATGACGTGCCCAGCCAATTGCAACCGATGAAGGGTGGTCATTGCCTCGATGCTGAGGATGTTGGCGTGGATCTTGCGCAGGCAGCGTTGGTGGTATTGCTCCAGTGCCGTGAGCTGCCTGCTGTAGACAGTCCATATCTCAGTGCCACGAATGAGGGTGGGAACCACCACAGCTCAGAAAACCATGAGCTTGGTGTGGAATCTGATGTTGGTGTCCTCAAACACCCTTCTCTTTAGGTGGCTGATGGCTGTGCTAGCACACTGGTGGTGATACTGGATCTCTTCATCAATAGCTGTTTTGGCCAACAGAACATTCAAAGTATTGGAAGTGGTCAAAGTTCTCTAAGGCCTCGCTGTGGACCTTGATGATTGGGGGTTCATTTCGCAATGCCTAGCCAGGTTGGTGGAGGACCTTTATCTTGTGAATGTTCAGGGTGTGACCCATACTCTCATATGCTTCCATAAAGATGCTTACGATGGTCTGGAGTACATACTCTGAGAAAGCACATATGCGAGCATTATCTGTGTACTGCAGCTCGATGACACTGGTTGGTGTGACTTTGGTTTTGTCTGGAAGGCAGCGTAGGTTGAGTAATTTCCCGCTGGTCCTTTAAGGAGTTCCGCTCTAACGGGGAGCTTGTCGGTGGTGAGGTGGAGCATTACAGTGAGGTAGATCAAGAACTGTGTTGGGGCAATGATGCAGCCTTGCTTTAAGTTTGGGTGGGATGGTCTTCAAAGGGTTGGTATGGACTCAATAGGCCGAATGGCCTTTTTCCACACTGTAGGGATCCTATGATTCTATGACACCGGTCTGAACAGGGAATGGGTCGATGATGGAGCCATTTGTCATCATCACGACTTCCATGTTGTCGTGGAGCAGGCAAAGAATGGTGACAGACTTCATGGTGCAACCAAAGTGGAGAAGGAAGTTCCATACACTTCCCGATTGATGGTGTCAAAGGTCTTTGTGAGGTTGAAGACGACCTTATACAGGGCTAGGTTCTTTTCTCTGCATTTCTCCTGCAGCTGTCGCATGGTGAAAATCATGTCCATCGTGCCCCTCAGTGGCCAAAAGCCACGCTGTGATTCCAGGAGGATTTCCTCAACCACAGGGCGAAGGACCTTGGCAGTGACTCTTCCAACAGTCGACAGAAGGTAGGACGTGTTCCCTTTTTTGGGAATGCTCACTACTGTGGCATTTTGGAGCTCTCCCAGGATGCTCTCCTCTTTCCAGATAAGGCAGACAAGGGTGTGTGGCTGCAACAGGAGCTCTCTGCCTCCGCACTTCAATGCCTCAGCCACGATATTGGTCTCCTCCAGCAGCCCTGTTGTTCTTAAGCTGATAGATACTTGCGGGGAACAAAAAAAAATACTGAAATAATTTCTATAGGTATATGAAAAGATTAATGAAGACAAATGTAGATCCTTTACAATTAGAAATGGGGACATTATAGTGGGGAACAAAAGAAATGGCGACCAATTAAATACATACTAGTTCAGTCTTCACGAAAGGATAACACAATGTTCCAAAAATGTTGGGCAATACAGAGTCCAGTAAGAAGGAGAAACTGAAGGAAAATCAGTATTAGTAAGGAAATGGAGTGGGATAATTGATGGAAATCAAAGGTTTTTAAATACTTAGGACCTAATCACCTGCATCCCGCAGTATTGGAAGTGTCCCTCAAAATAATAATTGCATTGGTAGTTATCTTTCAAGACTCTGTAGACTCTGGAACAGCTTTTATGATTTGAAGGGTGGCTTATGTTGAGAGAAAATAGACCAGTTACCCGCGGACATCAATAGTAGAGAAAATGCTGGAGTTCATTACAAAATGGCAGAGCACTTGGATAACAGTGACTGGATCTGACAGACTCAGCATGAATTTACGAAAGAGAAATCATATTTGACAAATCGTAACGGAATTTTTCAAGGATAATTAGTAGAGTTGATAACTAGTAGATTTGATAAGCAGGAGCCAACAGATATGGTTTATTTGGATTTGGAGAAAGCTTTTGATAAAATCCAATTTAAGAGATTAGCATGTAAAGCAGAGATTGGGGTAGTGTACTGACATGGATAGAGAACTGGTTGGCAGACAGGAAACAAATGGGTCTTTTTCAGGGTGGCAGCCAGTGACTATTGGGATACTGCAGAGGTCAGTCATGGACCCCATCTATTCGCAATGTAGAGAATAATTTTGGATGAAGGAATGAAATAAATACATCCAGGTTTGCAGCCGAAATAAATACATCCAGGTTTGCAGCCAAAACAAAGATGGGTGAGAGGATGAACTGTGGAGGATGCAGAGATGCTTCAATGTGATTTGATCAAATTAAGTGAACAAATGCATGGCAGATGAAGTATCATGTGGATAAGTGTGAGGTGATCCACTACGGAAGCAAAAGCAGGAAGGCATTTTATTATCCGAAAGTCAATAGATTGGGAAATGGGGAGCTGCAATAACCTAGGTATTCTTGTACATCAGTGCTGCAAGTATGTATGGGAGGTGCAGTAGGTGAAGGTGGCAAATAGTATGGTAGCCTTCATAGCAGGAAGATTTGAGTACACGTGCAGGGATGCAGGGTTGTTATGCTGCAATTGTACAGGGCCTTGGTGAGACCATACCTGGAGCACTACCTGCAGTTTCAGTCTCCTTTTCTGAGGAAGGATATTCTGGCTACAGAGGGAGTGGAATGAAGGATTACCAGCTTGATTCCTGGATAGCACAACTGATGTAAGAAGAGAGACTGATTGAAGTTTAGCAGAATGAGGGGAAATCTCTTAGAAACCTATGAAATTACAATAGGACTAGACAGGGTAAATGTAAGAAGGATGTTCCTGATGACCAGAAAGTCCAGACCAGGGTATGGTCCAATGATACAGGATAGGCCATTTAGATCCGAGATGAGGAGAAATGTATTCACCCAAAAGGTAGTGAATCTGTGGAATTCTCTGCCACAGAAAGCAGTTCAGGCAAAAATATTGAATGTTTTCAAGGAGTTAAATATCGTTCTTAGGTCCAGAGAAATTGAAGTACATGGGAAGGAAGCAGAAATTCTGTACAGAGTTGGATGATCAGCCATGATCATATTGAATGCGGGATGGTTGAATAGCCTGCTGTTGCTCCATTTTCTAATGTTTCCAAAGCCTTATATCCTTGCTAAAGCCCAAAATTGGACAATTCCTCAACTGGGGTCGAACTGGTAAATTAAATGGGTTTAGCACAATTTCCTTGCTTTTATACTATATGTCTCAGTTTATAGAACCCAAATTCCAATATATTGTGTGTGTCTTAGTTCGGCAACATCAGATTGAGCACAAACACCCCAAAGTATTCTGGAACCCACTTTAATGTCATATCATTTTAGGTTGTATTATCTCTTTGCATTCATCCTAACAAATTTTACAGCCACATGTTTTCTTGTATTCAATGTACTAAATGTTCAGGCATTCCACTAGCCTGACTATGACCTCAAAGTTTACTTACTATCTTCCTCATTACTTTTTACACTTCCAATTTTGTCTTGTGTGAACTTCGAAACTCTGCTCTGAATCCCCAACAACGATTATAGAACTGAACCTTGGAGAACTCCAATTTTTCCCTCTTCAGTTAAACAAA